GGGAATCGGTTCCCTCCGAGCATTCTGGAAATCTCGGAGCCAAACCATTCAGGGGGAATCGGTACCCCTTGGGGGGGAATCGGTTCCCTCTGAGCAATCTGGAATTTTTGGCTTTGAAATGGTTCGAAATACTTTGAAAGATTATTTTGAAATTATTTTAAGATTAAAACTTAATTTTACACTTAAGTAAGGATTAAAAATGATTTTTGAAATATTTTGAGTAATGTTTTGATATTCGAATAATTATATCGAATATACTTGGAAAATCATTTTGGAAAATCTTAAAATTCATTTAACTTAATTTGTTATATCGAAATATCAAAATGTTTTCAACAAATTCATATTCATATGTCACATAGCTCGTATCACTTTGCATGGATTCACATAAACATATATATCATTTGATTCATGTCTTATTCTTATATCATCATATATATTTTATCTATGTTTCATCACCTAACCTCATATCATATAACATGTTTTTATTCTCTTATGTTCACATGACATATAATGCATACAAATTATATTCACATATGCCTTTACTCATAAATTCATATATCATACAAATCATGTCATCAATTGTTCTCATATGCTTCACATGAATCACATATATCATATAGCACATATAAGCACATATCAGATTATATAATCAAGTATACATTTCATGTCATTCACATCCTTATAATCAATACTCCATACACTATAACTATTGGAAATAGACTTATCACAAGTCCAATTTCTTATAATATTATAAACTAAAATGCACTCATAAAAATAATATCAATCATATAACATTTTAGGAGTCACTTCTTACCATAGTAACTCCGTCACTGGCTCATCGCAAGCCAATATTTTTCGATAGCATCAGTACAATTAAATTGCACTCACCTTAGCCTTGCTTTGATTCGATCATAATCCTTTGATTATTCCGGAACTTGTTTAGGCTCAATATCTACATAATTATAACATTTCAAAACACTTATCAGAAGCATAAACTTCAAACTTGATGTTAATAACTTAAACTGGTTTTATGAACCAAATTTCATTTTTTTCATTTAGGGGAGAATCGATACCCCCCCAGGGGGGAATCTGTTCCCGGGGAATCGATACTCCTCAGGGGGGAATCTGTTCCCCCTGCACATACTGAAAATTTTCGTTCAAGAGGGGGTATCGATACCCCTTCATAGGGTACCGATTCCTTATGCCCAGAAATTGTATTTTAAGCCCGAAAATCATCAATTCTTCACTCAATTCTTCTTTTTTAAACCCCTGTCATGTCATTAAACCCAACCACCATTATTTAAACCAACTTATATTCATGAAAACCATCTTTAACCTCAAAATCCTATCCCTCATATGTAATTCAAGAATCATACTCAAATTTCAATATGTTATAAATACAATTCTAACACTTCATATTCCTTAATTAGCATGATGACAAGTCAAATTTAACTTCAAATTTAACTTGTCGACTCTTTTCCATAAATTCAATTAAAAACTCATTTTCTTTAATCTCTTATAACTTCCTCATCTTTTGATTATAAGACAACTTAAGCTCTCCTTAAGCTTAGTTATCATCTAATGATCAAAACCCAACTTAAAATTCAACTAATAATCAAAAACTAAGAAATCTTACCTTTGCTCTCTTGCTCACGATGGAGAAGAAGAAGATAACTTCCTCCTTTCCCCACGTGATTCATTCATATATAGGAAAAAAATATCTTTCCTATCAAATGATAATTCTGCCCTCTCATTCTTTTAATAATTACTAATAACCCTTAAGGAATTATTTTAAAATAAGTCATTGAACTATTCATCTTTTCCACTTTAATCATCAAATTCTTAAATTTTATAATTTAGTCACTAACTCGTAGTTTGGGATGTTACATGCTACTAAAGCTAAAACCTAACACAACCTACAATTAAGAAACCAAAACTTGCCAAAATCCAGTAGCCAAAGACAAAAATGTGATTTTTTTTATTAAGCTAGCAACTTAAAACCACCCACAACATGCAACAAAAACAAAAGTTGAAAGATAGAAACGAAGAATCCCCTGAGATTTTACACTGGGATCAAGATTGTTCAGCAGATTGCTATTTTGATTGGTTGTGCGGTTCTTCCTCACTTAAAGTCCCTAGTAGAAATCATAGAACATGGTTTGAATGATGAGAATCAAAAGGTGATGACAATTACTGCTTTGTCTCTGGCTGCTCTTGCTGAGGCTGCTGCTCCCTATGGTATTGAAAGCTTTGACTCAGTTTTAAAACCATTGTGGAAGGGTATCAGGTCTCACCGAGATAAAGTATTGGCTGTATTTTTTAAGGCCATTGGTTTTATCATTCCTTTGATAAAATATTAGCAAAGATAATGATGAATGATGGTAAAATATAAAATTATAGACAATATGATTTTTAGTGTTATAGTTTCTTACTTATTTGAATTATGTTTTTGTAATATAAATTCATGAGATAAATAATAAAGTATGCAGAATTAAGTATAAATATAAAAGATAAATAAATAAATTATTGTATATAGAAGATATAATAAATATTATATCTTATATAAAAATAATAATTTATATCTTTTTATTATTATGAATATCTATGAAGAATTTTCACAATGTAAACATTTAGTTACATGATGTAAGATTTTAATATATTTTTACATAAATTATGTATAATTTGATATTAATTAAAATTAAAATAATACATGATATATTTAAATACTCAAGTAATATATTATCAACAAATAAAATTTTCATATAAATAATTTTTATTTAAACATTTAGAATTTCATTTGTTAAAAAATATAGAACAAGGACAATTTGTTAAAATATACATTCTAGTAATATTTTATTCATTCAACCAAACACTGTAATCTTACATTCCTACCAAACCAACCAAACACAGTAATGTAACATTCCAGTAATCTTATTCCCTGGTAATCTTTTATTCTCACCGTTAATCTTACATTCTGCGAACCAAACACACCTTAAAAAATTTTGTACCTCACAGAAGTCGTTAGAGATTTGTTTAGATATCCCTTGACAGGACATCCGATACTCTCGAATCAAGCATTGGTCAAGGATTTGAAATCTGCCATTATGGGTACAACAGTCTGAAAAAAGTTTAAACAGAAAGAAAATGCTTACCATAGCATCGATAATTTCATCAACTGTGTCATGTCCAAAACATTTATCAAGCACTTCAATCCTATATATGTAATGTAATACTCATAACTAGAATATACTAAAAATAACGATCGTAGATTATGACAGAAAAAAAGGAAGGGCTAGACACCAGAGAGCACTGAAATGCTAGCTGTTACAACCAGTTACCGAAATATGGTCTCCTATATGAGAAAACAAACCTGAGCAACGCACTGATCTTTTCAGGATAGGCGACATTACTATATTTCTCCAAAGTAGAGTCAATGATAGAAGGATCATCGGTTACCAAATTTTCAAGGTCTTCTTAAACCAGCGGAAGTTTCTGTTATAGGAACAAAATACACCAATCTTACATAACCGGGAAAGATCAATAAATTATGAGGAAGAAACAGCCATGCTCTTCATCAGTACCAACCTCAGTGTGTGAGAAGTGTGTTGCAACACCACAAGAAATCATTTCAGCTCCACTGAGTTTTTCTCCTGTCAGACCCAAGTACACTCCTGCAAACATGTTTGTCTAAGATATTAGTGCATATATAAATAAAATCAGGCATGATATTCATGCTAGAGGAATATTCTAACAACATTAAACTTAGAAAAATAACAAATTGGAAGGAAGATAAGTTTTATTAACACAATAAATCCATGATTAAACATATACATTACACAATAAATCTGCATTTCGGATTTTAACTCGAAGCCTCAGCTCAAGTGTTCAGTAACCGTTGAGACGAGGAGCCAAAATGTCGTGTAAGCTACCATATTCCCTAGCGGAAATAGCCGAACTGGGTTTTGGACTTTGGATTTCGCGTAAGGCTTAATGCCTAAATAAGTGCAAAAACTATGTCTTCTGTTCTAAATGTCTACATTTTTCCCCCTATTTGGTTTTTCCGTTAAATGATAAACGTAATAATCTGGTAAATTTAAATTTTTTTAACTATTAAAAGTATTATTATATTTATTAAAAAATCTCTAATTTTTTTTATTATAAAATAATCTCAAATCCTAATTTTAATTCTTCGAGGTTGCCCTCTTCAGCCACGACCACTACTTCTTACGTAGTCCTTGCCATCATCCTAGTTATATGTTGTCGTAGTTGTTGCGATTCACCATTAGAATTGCGTGAGATCGCGGTTTTCATCCTAAGGTTCGTGGATTTAAAACGTCAATTTGTCGTTGATCAATTGTCAACCGATCACAATTCCATAGGGGTTCTGGTAACCAGGAAGAAGGGAGGTCGGGTGGAGCTTCTTCGATGACTGGTTGAAATGAAGGTTTTCAAAGTTCAGGGGTTATTTCAAAATTTATGTGTTTTCTTTTTAAAAAATATAATTTTAAATTTAAATTTTATATAAAAATTTTAAAATTAACAAGTTGTGACACGTGTCACTTAACATGAAAAATTAATACCGTTGACGGTCTGAGCATCTAAAGGCTAAAGTCCTAATATTTGTAATATTAGACACCCAATGAATTAAAAAAATATAGGTACTTATTTAACACAAAATATATAGTTTAGGCACTTATTTAGACATTAAGCCTTTGTGTAACAGTCTAATAGCGTTTTAGGCCCATTGATATGGGTTTTTTTCCCTTGGATTAATGCAATTTTAATGTGCCACGATGGTGCCTATTTTGTAATAAAATCAAAAGATTAATCTCTATTGTATAATTTGTAAAAGTTCAGTGATCAAAAACATTATTTCAAGATAGTTTAGTGACTATTATTAACTTTATCCTATTTTCTACTGGTGATAACTTCATCCTATTTTCGTTTATGGGTAACAGGGTTTCTCCTCAAATTGATTGGTAATGCTTTATTTCATCAAGGTTTTTATTGTTCTTTTTCTCTTTTCCCCTGAATGGTATAAAAAAATTCGTATACTCGGATAATCATCTGGGAATCTATTTCTTGTAAAACAACTCTTATATTACCTGGAGAAATTGCGGAAGGCTTTGCGACAAAGCGGAGAGCAGTGCGGAGTTTGCTACAGTTTCTATCGCTGGTATCTTTCCCGTATAAACCCTTTTACTGGATTAGAGTAAGTTATTTTGATTTTTCTTGCTTTCGATTTATTCCTGATTTATCGCTGTTTTTTCAAAATGATCTACGGCTGTTTTATAGAATTAGCAAATCGGAGACTATTCAATCTAAGCAAGTTCCTTTTATTCCTCTCATTTTCCATCTTACTCTTAAGGCTTGATTAAAAGTACTAGCTTTGTTTTGCCTTAAATTTTGAAGTTATAGATTTTTTTCCATTTTCAGTTTTGCATGAACGTTGTTCAATTTCAGGTAAAGGGTTCATTTTAAGGGATTTGGAATGGATGAGAATATGAAGCTATTGCAGCAAAGTTTGATTGAGCTTGAAACTGAAGCTGAACACTTGCTATTAGCCAAACATCAGGTAAGCCTTAGTTTATATTCAGACTCTCAGTTCCTAGAACAGACAACTGCACCAGGTTGAGTAGGCCAATAAAATTATTCATCCAAGACAACAAATTAAAGCTTCTTCCATTCTTTATTAAAGTAGTTAATATAACTACCCCTTGGTGCATGTTAAAGTTTTTTTTTCTCCCATTTTCAAATAATTGAATGTTTTAAAGTCATATTAATTTGTAAATGCAGCTGGTTGAAAATGATAAAGAGAGGAATGGGAACAGGGAAGCGCTTACTGCACTGAGGAAGAGGGCTCGGACGACAAAAACTAGCGTTCCATCCCCTTTTGAGTCAGTGATGAAGGATATTGGAAACCCTGAATCAAGACCTTTGGTAAAGGAGGTTTGTGCTACTTGTGGCAACCATGACTCAAATGAGCGGACATGGATGATGTTCCCAGGAACTGATGTTTTTGCGAAGATACCATTTCATGCTGCTCACACTATTTTGGAGACAGGTTTGATTTGCAACAAGTTAATTTATTTTTAAGACTCCGATGTTTAATATATTTAGAAAATTAAATGGACTTATTCTTCACTAAAAATTCTGTATAGAGCTTTGTTGTGTAGTTGAAGAACTGATTGGATTTTGTTGGTCACCTCAATCAAATGTTGTTGGTGTTATTGTTTTCGCTAAGACAGTAACATTTTTGTGGTAATTTGGGGCATAGAGCATGATTCAGAATTCTCATTAATAGTCGCTAGAATTTTTTTCCTAGCTTGTTCATGATTCATGTGCTTGAACTTTGAAGTTTAATTCTTGTCCTTGCTGTTATTCAGATAAAACAAAACTGGATCTTGAAGCTCAGAAACTTCAAAGCTATGTGAAGGAGAAATCCTTTTTGATATCAGAAAAAGGTGTCCTCGCTGACAAGATTAGTCCTGCCGTGCTTAGATCCTTGGTGGCGTTAAAAGATAAACCATGGTAAGTAAAATTGATTAGATATCAGTCTATCTCTATCCTTCGTGGTAACAAATGATATTTATGCCAACTGCTTATGGACAGATTGTCATGATAATCATATAGGATGGATTTGTAAGATGAAGAAGCTACTAAATGGAAATTTTATTCAATCACTTTTTTCTTTTTTTTTCAGTAACTTAGGAAGCAGGCTACATGATGCGTTTCTTAGCATGGTCCATTTCTCGCATTGTAGTGATTTATTGAATGCAAACATGCTAGTTCTTCACTAGTGCATTCAGCATCACAAAGGCTGAATTCTGCATGTGCTTTTTTTATCCCTTGAGAGTTATGTGAGGCTGCCATTTCCATTTTGCAAATGTGTTACTGCAAATAACATTTAGTTCCTTCTCTTTGGTAGTTTCTCCCTTCCTACTTTAGCTGAATGTCAGGAAGGTGAATATCATATTCCGAGACCATTCAGATTTATGCTTAATGCACTAATCTTGTTTTCACTTGGTTCCCTGCCCCCCTCCTCCCACTCGCAAGCCACCACTGACATAAACAAAGGCTGCTTCTCATGTTTTTAGCTCAAACATCATCTTGCACACTATTATTTTCTATGGATGATTTATGTTTAAAATCGCCTAATTTGAAACTACCATTGTTCTTATTTGCAGATTTGTGAGATCTGTCTGATACGAACATTGCTCTTTACAGGGAGGTGGCAATGAAATTAGTGGGAATCATATTTGAACAGAATTATCTGATAGATAGGGGAACATGGACAAAATTTATCAATCAATCTTTGCTTTGTTGACAGCTTTGTTAACATTGGTTTTGTCAAAGAACTGTGTCTTTGAATCTGCACGTTATGTGTTTTTGGTCTTACCTATCTTTGTTTATTCACTAACGTACAAGAGAGCCATAGAGGCAAAGTTCATATGCTGCATCTTTAATTATTTGCACGCCACATTCACCACTTCCTCTGCAAATAGTTTCTTTCTGGATTTCTGTTGTACTTTGAGAATCTTTCGAGCTTACGCATCATTGCATTCTTGAAATTAATGGCTTCCTAAACTTGTGAACATGATCTCTGCATCTCAACTCCACTTAAACTACATCTAGGCTCTGGCATTTCTTTGAGCGGAAGTCATTTTTCCGGCTACGCCTCTGGCTTTTGCTTGGGAGCACTTTGTGACCTCAATTTGGCCTTGAAAGATTGTATTTGCCATATAATTGGGGAAATCCATGTACCGTCCAAAATAGTTTTCGGCAGCACATGCACTCCTGATCCTGCTGCATTACCGACGTAAAAATTGAAAAATTGAGGCATACTTTGTGCCGAGCACTTGCATTCCTCTCCGGTTAATCTCCTATCAGTGTCTCAAAAGTGGCAACTATCTGGTATCGATAAACCAGCTGGAACTCGACACGGAAGCAGAATATGACTAGTCATCATCAAAATCTGATAGAGCATTGGTTCTCCAAGATCTAGATTTCGGCCTGCCTGTATCAACCTCCACAATTTTAGGACATCGATTTAATTCATTGCCGAAGTTTGAGAGAAACCGACAATCTTTGCCTATGGATCGAAACAGTAGGTCTTCTACTATGGATCGAAACAGTATGATCATTCTTAGTATATCGAATCTCTCCTGCAAGGTGGAGTTTTAACATATTCGGAATTTTTTTGAATTTATTTTGGAATTATTGTTTAGAAAGATTGAAAAGATATTAAAATAAATTTTAGTTTAAAGATGAAATAAGATATTACCCATTAATTTAACATAAATGATCACTTTATAATGAAACCAAACAGATGAGATATATAATGTTTTTTTAATAATGACAACTGGATTTAATTAACATTAAAAGGAATCAAAATTATATCGTATCATAAAAACTCATACAAAAGTAAAATATTAAATCTAAAAATATGCAGAAAAATAAAACTTTTTTTGAGAATAAAAACCCAATAACATTCATAGAAACTTGTGTTTGTCAAATGAGATGTTTTACGAAATATTAAAGGAGTGAAAGAGAACCAAACAATCTAACAGGTTGCTTCGTTACACAATTCTGATCACATCGACAAATAAAGAGAATCTGACTATAAGTGACTACCGACAAACCAATCAAAAATAAATATAGTTATGATTTTTGTTCAAGAATCAAACTATAAAAAAAGGCATGCAAAAACACACAAAATCATAAGAATTATATTACAAGAACAGGAAAACACGTGTCACAAGTACATAATTTTATTCAAAATTAAAAAGACTACAAAAAATAAGACTATAAAAATAAGAGAATTAATAATCCCGGAGGTTGGCAACTAAAATTTAGATTATTGGTATCGCCATCGACTAAACAAAACAAAGAAAAAAGATGGTACAAAAATAATGAGAGAAATTAAGATTGAAAACGAGAGAGGGAGGGAGAGGGAGAGGGAGAGGGAGAGGGAGACGGCTATGAGATGCACAATGTTAGATGAAAACAACTAAACAAACGTAAGAAGTTGCTGCTACAAAGAAAGTGATAAAATCAAGTAGGTATACTGATAAATATTAGAAGCCAAATAAAAAATGGGAGATGCAATTCAAACTACATGTGTTCCCTCCAAGGAATTCCACAACTCCGAACACTCTTCCTCGTCCTGGGATTTGGCCCTCACAGACAACATTCCGGACGCCGAGCTTGAAGCTTGCATAAGATTCAATGTCAACTCAGCACCGGTTTCCTGGAACTCGTCCCATCCCTGAGGAAACAAAGGATGCTGCTGAACGTCAGAACGAGGATGGGCATCTCCAAGATGTTCTATCCCATGGTTCAAGTGCCAGTCTCGATCGAGCACAAGCTGCCGGGACAGCACAGCAGCACGATTTTCAGCGATCAGCTCGCGTAAGGCAGCACTAGATCTTGCTGAGAGATCAGACGGGAGATCCAAGAATCAGCTGTAGATGACAGAAGAGAGAGAGCACGTCCTTTTGAAGACGATAGGTGGTATGGAAATCTCCCGGTCATCAATTTATTTCTGCTGAAGAACATACTTTCAGCCTGAGTTCATAAATCACATAATTAACTTCTACACTACTTTCATCACCAAGTACAGTTCCGATGTTTTGACAATAGTCCGTTCATGTGTTTAGTCAACTGTACTAAATTGAATATCAGCACAGCACGTGCTCAGACCTGCCTGTTCAAACTACAAGGATTCAACTGTGACCACCTCAGCAGATGGAAATCTTGACCAGATCAAAAGCAAATAAATGAAAGAAAAAAACAAAGCCCTAATGGAGAAGATTCATAAATCATAACAAAATGCACTTTCCAACTAGTAAGTTCAGATTCAACATGAAAATACTGCAAAAAAAAGGAAAACTAACCGTAAACAACATTATCATATACATTAAAGAATCGACTAGAAAAAGCAAAAAGAGAGTACCTTGAGCAGTTCCTAGAAGAAGAATCATGAGCTGTTTTCCTCCTACGCTCATTGTGGCCAGCCAATCTCCGTCTGCAACTCCTCTTCGAGTCGTCAAATTCTGACACCACATGAAACCCACCCATTTCCACATACATCCATCACCTCTTTATAAATTACCACATTTCTTACTACTTTCATGCCAGTATGCAAATATGTAAAACCCTAGTACAATAAAGCAAAGGAACGAATACAAATGCAGCAAGGCAAAAAAAATTGTTTCTTAGATAAAATGGGAAATGTGAAGAGTAATGTACTTTTTTATTCATACTTTTAGCCGTATAATGGAAAAGAGAGAAATGAACGGGAGAATTAAAAAGGATCACCTGCTACACTGTTGACAGAAACGCTGCTCTAACCCTAACACAATCACCTTGGGTGCCTTCGAGTGCATCTCACAAACTTTATGCCTCCGGTGATACTCTTTCGCATTCAACAGCTCAACATCGCAACCTTCGACAAGACATCGTGGTACCGTCGCCGGAGTCCCCATGACGGCTATAGACGACGAATCAGGCTCAACACCATCATTTGCACCGCCGCTGCCACCACCATCAATATGGTAATACGCTTTACCTTTCTTTTTTACGGATAACCCACCACCACCGATCAGGTGTCGCTCAGTCAGAGATGCGGAATCCTCGAAGTAGTGCCTCTTTCCTAGATTCAAGCAAACGAGGTGAGGGTCGGGGTGCATACGAGACCCGTTTCCAGTATAAATCGAGTGTTCCTGGTTCAAGTGTTGAGCGAGCGACGTATCGACATGGTGAGGAAGGAACATAAACGATGGGGCAGTATTTAACTCAGGAAGTGTCGAGGAGGGTGATGAGACAATCTCCGCCAGGTGGCGGCGGTGCTGCCGCTGCTGCTACTGGTGGCGTACAAATTAAAGGCGTTGATATTATTGTTGCCTCCCCATTCGAATCTCTTGCTCGCAGTACGATTAAGCTCCCGTATGTCCCAGGTCAGATTAATGTTGCTGTAACCAGCTTGGCCATGGTTCCCCGGGAACATGTTCCCTCCATTTTCCATAATCCCTGTCCTTAACTTGCGTTTGCAGCTAGCACTGTCCTCTGTGTAAGAATATTTTATGATTAAGATGCAACTGTCAATAGCTTTGGGGTACTTTTTTTTTTTTTTTGTTTACTTTTGCTGGGATTGCGTACGAAGAGAGGACTGATGCATCGTCTGGCTGTTTCACACAAAGAAGAAATTTTATTTTATTCTGTTGAGGTTAAAAGGAATGGAGAGTTATAAATGGAAGAGGGTTAGGTTTATTGGTTATTGAATTGTAGTCTAAAGTAGAATGGTGGGGGAGATGAATGATGGAGCTTTAGAAAGAGAAAAGCTGCAACTTGGCATGTTTTTATCATTGTTTTGAAAATCATATTGAACTGTCAGTTTAATCGGGAATCGTTGTCTAATTTGGTTTAATCTAGACTGGTTAAACTGTTACAAGTAAACCGGTCAAAATCGTTAAACCGTTCAAATCGACAGGTTGAAAATCGGGAAAACCCAAAAAAAACCACCAATTTTGTTTTTTTTTTAAATTAAATCAAACGACATCGTTTGTTAAACGAGCCAAGACGAACTCGAGTATTGTTGAGCTAGACTCGAACTTGAAAAATTTAAAAATAAGCTTGAACTCGAAAAGCCTTGAACTCAAAAAAAAATTAAAAACTCGATTGAAGCCTAAAATTCGAACTTGATTGAAGTGAAAGAATAGTTCACTCAATGCTATCAAAAGGCTCTATGATTTTGAATCCTAAATTACCTCTATTATTTATAAAAGTTAGTTGGGATGATCTTCTATGTTTCTTAGCCATGTGGGATTATTTTAAAAAAAAATTAAACCAAACAATATCATTTTGTTATGATTTTTAGTCCAAATTTATTTTTTAATTATAGTTATATAATTATATTTATTATTTAATATGTTTTAACTTAAATTATATTGTAGTTAATTTGAATCATTTTATTTCATTTGATTTTATGGTTTTTAACTTATATATGTTATGACTTTCTTTGAATATGAATTGTGATATAAAAAATTATTTTTTATTAAATATTTTTGGTATTTTTATTTAATTTTTAAATAATTATGACGTCGTCCGGTTCTTCCGATCGGTCGGACCGGTTCGACCGGTTGAACCAGTAAACTGGTAGCACGGCCGGTTCGCTAACCGGTCCGGTTCTAAAAACCATGATTTTTACTAGTGTTTTGAAAATCGAACCGGTTGGTTCAACCAGGAACTGCTATCTGGTCAGATTCATTGTAATCCAGTTAAATCGTTACTAGTGAATCGGACGA